AAAATAATAAATAATTAAAATGAATAAGAGATGATACTGAAAAATAGAAAAAATTGAATAATATAAATAAATAATATGAATAAATTATAAATATAAATATAAATTGAATGAGAATTTACTGGAGATTTGGAGTAGAGAGCAGAGAGATTGAGTGGTGTGGAAAAAAATGAGAGATTTGTGGGTTATTTATAGTGTAGTCCCGACCGAACGTGGTTGTGGAATTGCAGTTGCTTCTTCTAGAGGAAAGGGTGAAAATGAATTGAACCCTTCTATTTTATCGGTGGATGGAACGTAAAACTCATTTGGGGATGATCCTTCGAATGCATCATTTCGGGAATCCATTATGAATTTATGATAAAATAATAAATAATTAAAATGAATAAGAGATGATACTGAAAAATAGAAAAAATTGAATAATATAAATAAATAATATGAATAAATTATAAATATAAATTGAATGAGAATTTATTGAAGATTTGAAGTAGAGAGCAGAGAGATTGAGTGGTGTGGAAAAAATGAGAGATTTGTGAGTTATTTATAGTGTAGTCCCACCCACCCCCACAACACCCCCCCGCCCCGACACTAAATGTTATTAAGCAAAAGTAAATTTTTTTTTTAAAATTTTGTAAAAGATCCTTTTAACCCATATAATTTATGTTTATTTCAAAATTTATAGGGGGTTTTAATAATTATACAATGGACTAAAAAAAATGATTAAAAAAGTTTGGGCCCAAGCTGGGACTGGTCCCAAGCCTGGGCCTTAGAGGAGGGCCCAGTGGAGGGACTGGGCCCTTCTCCGGTCCAATTTTGGGACCAAGCCTCCTAGAACTGGGTTTTTGGGCTAGGTTTTTGGACCCAGTCCCAAATGCCCACCTCTAATTTAGATAATGTCATCTTACATTACTTATATTACTACATTTGGTTGTTAAATAATATAAGACTCCGGTAATCTTCCAAAACTAATAATAATTACTGTTGATAATATAGGTAGGAATCTGAATTTTGTTACAATTTTACCTTTAACTATTAATTTTTTTGGACAATAATGTCTTTTTTTTTTTTTTTAATTAATTTACATGAACTTGCCATTATAGTTTTACCCCTAATTAATTAAGTTTTTGGACAATAATACCCTTATTTTATAACAAATTGTAGGCCACCCATGACCACCGTCACTTGCCAGCCACCACCACCAACCATTGGCCAACCACCGTTAACAGTCGTCGGAATGACACACGATCAGTTGAATTTGGCCGTTAATGCCCATATTTTTGGCACATGACGCCGAGATAGATATGACCATTAACAGTCAAATCCATGGCGCACAACGGCCACAAATCTAGCTTTAATCAGCCATTGATCTGGCTGAAAACAATCAGATTCACGGCCAAATCGACACATGTCCGACTGAATCCAACCGATCATTTGCCATTCCTGCGATTGACGGTGGTGGCCAACAGTCTACAATGGCTTGGTGTGGGTGATTTTGTTACAAATTAAACTTTTATATAGCTAGAGTGTTTTAACAAAATTTTAAATGTAGGGTGTTAAATGATGATTAAAAAAATAAAAAAAATATTATATTAATATTTAAAAAGGAAGACAATTTAGTAATATATATAATATGTTCACCAATTTATTTTAATCTAGTCAAAAATATTTTCTTAAATATTCTTAATAATCTTGAAGGTAATATAACATTTTCAGTAATACAATATTCTTAATCCAAATATACCTCTTGGCTCGTTGTCCATGCTACTGTACTGTTACTATTTTTGCTTAATTACCATTACTGTTCTGTTCAGCTGGATTATCATTATGAATTGACCGATTAATCGGTCCTCTGTTGTAGCAGAGTCACCTGGAATACACGCGACACCATGTGACTGAGTTATGTTTTGAATCATTGTTTAAATGAAACTGTAAAGCATTTATTAATTTAAATACTTTATGAATTATTAATTTATTTGAAATGTATATGTTTGTATTAATGTTTTTATTAAAGGTTTTAACAAATTTTACTGATTAATATATATTATTTGTACGTTATTTATTGAATTGACTACTCATCATTAGTCTTAAACATTTTTCTTTTTCCAGCATAAAGGGTAATTGATCGAGGTAGACATACTGAATCGTAATTTGATTGAAGTTATACATGGCAAAGAATTGGAAGACTTAGGTTTGAATGTTCGTAGCCCCTCGGGTCCAAAGCGCAAGAAAATCATTTTATCACTTCAAAATTTAAGCTTATAACCCTTGGAAAATGTTAAGAATTTGTTCACAAAGTCAACAAAACTTATAAAACAGTTACCTAAATTAGTATTAGTGAACATTTTTTCTCCATTTTCATTTTCAAATTCTGCTTTTGGAAAATGATAATGAACACAATTTGAAATTTAAAATACACAAAATCAAACTTTTATTTTCATTTTTGAAAACAATAATATAAAAAAGGTAAATGAACACCACCTAAAATTTTAAAAAGATTCTTATAGAAGTGGAATCTAAATTCTAATTAAATAGAGAAGATATTAAAGTTTTCATACTTATTATATTAAAAAAATTTGAATTATATTATTTTTAAATTTTTTTTTTATCATCAAGCGTGTCTGAACTAATTTGCACGCATCTTAACTAATCTTTTGAAACCTTAAAAATACTAGCTAAGTAAGAGCCTTAGTAGTAGCCACTCTTATTAATGATTGAGGTGATTCGAATTCATAAACTCATTGAATCTCATTTTATATTTTTACAATCAAAGTATTTAATTGTGATTATTTAATTCTATCTTTACTTACATAGAATTTCCGACTCTGTCATTAAGCAATATAATATCATATTGTATAATATGGAATACCAAATATGTCCTTGTAGAAAAGAATAAAGGTATAAACAATAGTAACAATAAAAATTATTATATAAAAATTGTTAAAATTTGAATAAGATTCTTGAAGGAGTAGAATCTTAATATAAATGGAACTAATAATGTGTTGGGGAATGGAAGGCAAAGGTTGAAGGTTTGACATACATTGAATGTCACCTAAACTGTGTTTAAAAAAAGATTCACTTAACCTTACCCATAAACATAACACTTGCTATTATTTTAATCTTAGCCACTACTTTTCATGTGAGTGTGACAGATTGATTAATGCCACAAGGAATATGTTTCTAACTGGCACACTCACGGACCAATCTCTCTCTTTGTATATTCATTACCCAATCACATTTCATATTTCATTTATTTTTTTGTCACTTTCTTCCTTTGCTTAGCCGAAAAACCTGTGATCACTTCGACTTTTCACATCAAACCATGGGCCAAACCAAGATTTTATTTTGGAGAGGCTTCAATTTTTTTATTAATAAAAATGTCAATGATAAAATAATTTTTTATTAATAGAAAATGAATCTTGTATTCAATTATGAGGGACAAAAATTATATATGTGTAACATTACCCTTTTATAAAAAAAAATATCAAAAGGATTTTGCATGTGAGAGACAATGTTGTACATTGGTGTTTTAAATTAATTAAATTCATCATAGAAATATTTATTTTAAAAGTCATTAAATATGATTTAATAATTNTCACGGACCAATCTCTCTCTTTGTATATTCATTACCCAATCACATTTCATATTTCATTTATTTTTTTGTCACTTTCTTCCTTTGCTTAGCCGAAAAACCTGTGATCACTTCGACTTTTCACATCAAACCATGGGCCAAACCAAGATTTTATTTTGGAGAGGCTTCAATTTTTTTATTAATAAAAATGTCAATGATAAAATAACTTTTTATTAATAGAAAATGAATCTTGTATTCAATTATGAGGGACAAAAATTATATATGTGTAACATTACCCTTTTATAAATAAAATATCAAAAGGATTTTGCATGTGAGAGACAATGTAATTAATTAAATTTATCATAGAAATATTTATTTTAAAAGTCATTAAATATGATTTAATAATTGTGACCAATTCATTTAATTATTTTGGTAAAGAACTGAAAGCATTTCCTTGTCTTAAACCAACTATGATATTTAAATTGCATAAAATTTTGAAAAAATCTCATTGCCTTTTCCACGTGTTTGAAAGCAAGCCGTCATAGTCACAGATTCATAAATCCTCTTCGAGTGTTCCTATTTTGTTTTATTTTCTCTAGAAGGATCATTACTGCAAATCAATAGATAACTTAAAATTTTCTCTAATTTGTTTTTCTAAATTATCTGTATTTGATGTTAAAGTCATAATTTATAAGGAAAAAATTGATCCTATTAAAATTTAATACTTTATTTACTATATAATTAATTAATCTATGTATCACCATCTTAAGTTAAGAACTATACTTGATTTGACAATATATTAGATTTGATAAATATTATTGGATCAGTTTTTCGGTTTGCACTTAAAATATTTGATTTCATGTAATAATATTTTACTAAGCAAAATATATAAAATTAGTTAAAAGATTGTTATAGCAGCTAAAACATTTTTACGTATCGCAACAATACACACACACAAATATATATAAAGTAGATTAATTGAAATAAAAAAAAGACCCAATAATAACAAAATTAATTATTATAATTTTATTAAATTTCATGATAGAGTTGCAAATAATTTTACTAGGTCCAACATAGACCGAAACATTTAAAAAGATGTGATAAAATAACAAAAATTGTTTAAAGATTTCAAGAATTTCTGTTGTTAAATTTTAAATATTATAATAAATAATAAAAAATAATTTGATAATATTTATAAATTTCAATAACTCGCTAATACTTAATTGTTATTCTAGAAATCTGAGGGGTTTATTACTTTATTTTCCCCAAGAAAGAAATTATTTGTTCGCTGAATACTTGAATTATCCCGTGGGAGGGTGACGTAAACACATCACCTGCGGGTGACGCAGTCGCTAACTCTTAAAGACTTTCTCCAACAATTATCCATGCCATTCCCTCTTTCCTCCTTTCTCTTCGTTTCTATTTTATTAATTCTCATCCCTCTCTTCTCTTTCTCTTCTTTTTACTTTTATTTGTTTTCAAAAACTACTATTTTTTCTTAACGAGCAAATCATGTATCCTTCTTCATCTTCTTCCTTCTCCTCTTCAATGACCTCCTCCTCCTCGCGGCACCACAGACCTCTGGGTCCCACCAACCTCACGCGCTACGTCTCGGCTCCAGGTTCTCTTTTAACTTCGGCCGTCGATTCCGTCATCGGATCGCATCAGCCGTCGCTCGTGCCGCCTCCTCACTACTTCTCTTCGCCTCACGATTCCTCCTCTTCTTGCTCTTCCTTCACGTCCGACTCAACCTGCAAAGTCAACTCATCCAACGATGCTAAACACTCCAAAACCGGACTCCAAAGATCCTACGGCTTCAATGAAATCGCTCACTCTTCTTTGCTCAGACAGAGAAGCTCTCCCGCTGGTTTTCTCAACAATCTCACCACTGAAAACGGTAAGTTTTGCTTTTTAAAAGTGTTTTCCGAAAGCAGATTTGAGAAATAGTAAAAACGGAAATTTGACTTTTTAGATAAGTGAGAAATTGTTTTAGGCAATTAAATTTATTTATTTTTATATAATTTATTTTTGTGTTTTTTTGTTTTTCCTGAAATAGAATGACGGCTCATCTGTTTCTGAAAAACAGTTTTTGATCGCACTTTCTTTTTGCAATAATTGTTTCTGTCTATGGTTAAATTGAAATGATCTTATTGTCCTTGCTCAATCAGTGTAAGCGCTGAAATGTCAATTAGGGCTTAGGGGTGCCTTTGTCATTTCGCTTTATTCTTCTAAAAACCTCCCCTGAACTTTAGTATAACTTTCATCACCCCAATATTTGAGAATTATTACTGTTTGCCCCTAAGTATTTCGCTAGCCTTCCCATTATGGTAGGTAGGGGACATGAGCGATAAATTTTAAATGATAAGAGATATTTAAAATTTCTGAGAACGTTAGGGGAGGTCAGCGAAATTAGTTATTGTTTTAATGGAGTGCTAAATTAGCTGGCATCGGCTTCTAAGTAGTAAGTTCTAACGTCTTCTTTCGGTCACATGACAAGATGCTGTGCCGTGTGGATTAATGTTGACTTGGACGGAAATGACAAAAATGTTCATGTTTAAATCTAGTTTTAAGGGCTAATATCGGTATTAAATATTGCCCTTTACATAATTTTATGTTAATAATAATTTATTCTATTATTCTGGTAGATGAGGATGAATCTTCTTTTTTATTTTTCAATTTTTATTAATAATTCCTTACCTTATCCTTTCTAATTTTTTTTTCAATTTTCTCGAGCCTTTATTAGTGTTTATTTCTTATGATTTTTTGTTAAACATTTTTAAATATTATTAAATATCTTTTTTTTTTAAATAAAAAAATAAGCTTTTAAGTTTGATAGCGTAGTCAAATCAGTCGACTATTGGATCTCATCTCTCCAAGGGTCAATGGTATTCCGTTTAGTGGGGAGATCTAACGGTGGTTGTTGGTCTGTCAATGGCGAGCACATAGTAAATCAAACCCCCACTCGACAAATTATTATAAGAAGCAAAATTTATAGATAAGATCCTTACTTGACTTTTTTAAAGTATTATTCTAAAAAGTGCTTGGTCACTTTTTTGGGTGCAAGTTTTTTATTATTTTCACCATCTTTAGTAATAAATTTCTTGTTTATATGTTTTTTTTCGTCAAATAAAATTTTAATTGAAATCTTTAATTATTTGGCGGGTTTATTTCAATTTCCCTTATGAGATTACTTAAAACTGAAAGCATTTGCTTCTTTCAGGATGTATTAAATAAACTCTTATTAGGGGTTTTTTTGATAATTTTGTAGGGGGATGTTTGATATTTTTAAAGGGGTTTTTAATTTTTTTAATATTTTTTTAAACTCTCTGAACTGATAAATTAAATGGGTTTATTAGGATTAAGCGGAGTTATTTACAGGTAATTTTCTTTTTGAAGTAAATTAGAATAAGGTTAAAGAAATTAACTTGTGACATCATTATTTTATTCATAATCTTCCGTTAAATTATGCTTTACTTTAATTTGTAACACTAATGATAGAAGTTTTATGACATGACTTTTTTAACACGGAAAAGAATGATTATGTATAATTAGTAAAGAAATATTTTATGGTTTAGTTTTGTTATTATTTTGGAGATATAATTTATGCTACAAATTATACTATCAATATACTTGTAGGGTAGGATTTTCTCTTTAAATAATGTAACACAAGCACCTCACCGCCTACCAAGGTTTTGTTGGTTTCTTAGCTTTATTGGGGTGTCTTTCAAGTGCTTGATTTTTTAGAATATGAAAATGACCCCACCTACATTTGAGAATGCCACTTCTTGTCTTTTTCAGGATTCAATGATACAAATGAAATAGCATTATCATCATTGTGAACTTACCAAGGACTAAATATGCAAATATTATTTTATTTTATTTTTCTGTTTTATGGAAGTTTAAAGTAGTAAATTTGGGTAGTTGATTTATGAATCCAATAACCAGTAGGGTTAATATTAATTTAAGCTGGTCTATAAAGTGGTTTGATATGTGAAGAAAGAACATTTTAAATGTGCAAGCACATTTTACAGTTTTTTTTTTTTTTTTTTTTGTATGTGTGGCATTTTTGTAACATGATTTAGGTTGAAATAAAGAGTAGTTTAAGGTCCGTTGACGTGATTCAATATGGCAGAGTAATGCATTCGAATGAATTGATTGACTCATGATGATAAAGTTTATGGTCCCATTTCAAATCTAAGTTTTATCTTTTTTATTTTTGTAAGTGTAAAAGGAAACTACTATTCATTGGTTTAGTGGTAAAAATGGAATGGTTGGAAATTTTTGAAATGGAAGCAACAAGTTTAGTGAAACTTAAATGAGTTGGAGTAATGAGTTCGTAATTATTATCTAATAGATTGAGGTCCAGGAAGTTTACCTTCTAGTTCATGTATCCAGAAAGAGCATGCTTTTATCATGTGTCATGTTGTAAAATAATTTATAGTAATAGAAGTTGATAGGATCAGATATATATGTTAATTTATGTTTGAACAATTATTTGAATGCATTGATGTGTTTTAATTTTTGGGTAGTGGAATATTCAAGCTTATGCATTTATGCTTTTTATCTGGTCAAATTGATATGTTGTTACACAAGATGTACTCAAAATGAAGAGTTAAATTTCACTGTAAGCGGGAGCCATATGGCTCCCTTGTTTATTGGCCTTTCTTTTTAGAATACCATTTTGCTACCCAATTTATTTATTTTTTCTAATATGTGCATTGTTGTCTTAATCCTATTTTTCAGTAGTACATCTTTTGTAATTTTATTTTTTCTTGATGATCCTTCTATGCCAATAAGACAACCATGCTGTGCTAAATGAAATTCTCAGAAGTTGGATTGCCACGAATTGTTATTGTTATGGTTATTAAATGAACTGTGATCTTCATGTCAAAAGCTGTTGTGGTTAAATGTATGCATGATTTTCATTGTCAACACCATTTCAACTATGGAAATTTCAATTGTTTATATACTAGGTGAAATAATTAGTCGAAGTTTTGATAGGTGAAAAAATGCATATGAAGTATCTTCATTAACTTACTGTGGTTATATATCATTTGACAATGTGGTCATTTTGACAGGAGGTTTTTCAGTTACAAGGGAGACTGGAAACTATAACTCCCAAGGCGGCTCTGGTGGTGGCCTTGGAGTGTCAAGGTTAAAGCCTCAATTGAGTTTTACCAGACAAGATTCTCTTTCTCAAATCTCTGAAGTAAGTGAGAATGGCATTGATGGAGTTAGCTCTGGTAACCGCCAACAAAATCCTGCACATTCATATGCCACAACTAGTTTTGGATTAGATTCCTGGGATAATGGCAATTCAATTGTGTTTTCTGTCCCACCGAGTAAACGAACTAAAACTATTGATGGAGATATTTTTAACTGTCTCAATGCCTTGGAAACTCAGGTACTATAATTTTCCCAACCTTTTCATTACTAAAGTTAAGCAAGAATGACTTTTACTAGCTGTAGTGTACTCTGATAGTCAGATAAACAAAGTAGTACTTCATATTTCACACCCTGTATAATTTTTCTCTGATGTGTAGTAATTTGGTATGGAAATTCACCAAGGATTCGTAGTATTGATGATAACCATGCTTCACATTTGGCTTGTTGTAATTCACATTTCCACTATGAAACATTTGTGTTTGATGTTCATTTCAGTTTAGCCTGCCACAAACATCTCTTGAGATGGCCACAGTGGAGAAGTTACTCCAGATCCCTGAAGATTCCGTCCCTTGCAAAATCCGTGCTAAACGTGGCTGTGCCACTCATCCCCGCAGCATTGCTGAGAGGGTTAGTATTGACTTAACAAAACATATTATTTCTCATAGATTTTCTAAGAACTGCATATACGTTGAATTGCTTCATTCTTGTTTCTGTAAACCATCAATGCTATAAAGCACATCATCTGGCACTTTTCTAAATGCTGATTCCAGTTGTTAATGACAAAACCATTTGGATTATTTGAAAAAAATTGGCTCTTTTTTGGCTGATTACTGGTACTAAGTTGCAGCCATTCTTTGACAATATGCAGGAGCGAAGAACTAGAATAAGCGGCAAATTGAAGAAACTGCAAGACCTTGTTCCGAACATGGATAAGGTAATAAAACAGTAGTGCATTTTGAAGTCTTACCATGATCGAGTTTAAATTCAGTTCATGCTATGAGAACCTTTACCATATTTCTCAAAAATTTTATGCTTCAAACTGTATATGCCATGCAATGCTTGAACTTTTCTTTTAAATGTAAATACAGCAAACAAGCTATGCCGACATGCTGGACTTGGCAGTGCAGCATATCAAAGGCCTTCAAAATCAAGTTCAGGTTTGTGATTATTTCATTTCTGCATAAATCATTAATGTTGCTTGTAACTCATTTTTTTTTCCTTGATTACTTATTTATTAATGGCTTGAATCCATTTGGGAAATTGCAGAAATTGCAACAAGAATCTGAGAATTGCACATGTGGGTGCAAACCAAGCTCATGATGAATGGTAATGAATAAAACAAGGGATGAAATTGCAGTAAGTAGACTAAAATTTTGTACTCTTACCCAAACTTTTTGATTGTTGTAACTTTGAAATGTAAGGTGTAAGTATGATTTAACTAAAAAAGTGTATATAAGAAACTGTAGTTTTTGTTTTTATTCTTCTTTAAAGATGTGTATGTTTTGTTTGTTAGACAAATAAAAATATGGAAATGTAGTTCAATTTTGTTTCATTTTTTTTTTTTTTTTTTTTATCATAACTACTGCTTTTTATGTGTGGAGGTATATTGTGGATTAATAATTTAAAGCAAAGGCTTTGAGCACTTGTTACATATTCAACGTCTTGAAGATTCAAGATGCTAGAAAGAAATCTCAAGGGTTGGCCATCAAGAAGGTTTGTCTCCGAGTTTTTGGGTTTAATCTTGGGATCATCTATCACATTATGACTTACCTGGACCTTTGGACTTATAAAATGTTCAATAAATCTCGAAGATTAGCTGGTATACGCAAACTTGCTCGACACTTCAGTTACCCAAAAAAAAAAAAAAAAAAAAAAACTTAAAAGATTTTGACCGGCGACAATCCAAATGGTGGTTACTTCTTGGAATTAAGATTTTAACAACTATTTTGTGTGACTACAAATTTCGAAAGGAAGCTGAAACATTTGAGTCATAAGAGGCCAAGTGATTTGTAAAGAGCTGAATTTTCCCTTTCACATTCACCAATTTTTACTATAACCCTAGGGACTCTAATCTAATCCTCATGAAGACCATGCCCAAGTCCTAAATGAAGACTTAACTGTAGTGCAATAAGGAATTCACTGAGTTAATCTAAGTAATGAAATGTCACGGTTCCTAATATCAACACTCACTTTTACTTAAGGAAATCTTAAGATTACTATCACAATAATATGATTATATTGGGTCCTTTGAGTTTATAGAGTGTTTATGGTTTGAAGATTAGTTGAGATGTGCATAAACTGTCAGACACACCATTTTACCAACAAAAAAAAGCTCCACCTTTTACTGTGCAAATACAAAAGAGACATTATTCCAATAACTATTTTTATTAAAGTTTAATTCTCAGAATGCACATCTAGTTATAAAATCACATGATTTAACCTAATTATCCTCGATATAAAAATAACAATAACAAAATTAATTAGAATGCGGTAGACTACTAAATTTAACATTATCTAATATAGTCTAAAAATGTTTTAATTGGACTGTTAAATCGTACTATTAATTTATTAAATTCTAAAGTACTAAATATAATATAATCTAGCTTAATATGTTCTATATAATTATTAAATTACTGAATTTTATAATTAAATTTATCCTTTTAAATAATATTATCACATTTTAGAAAATTAAAATTATAATAGGTTATATATATCTCAAGCGGCTACAAAATATCCTAACGGAATGCTCAAACTCAAGAGAGTCGATATTGGAGAAGCTAAAGTTTCGTGTCTTTCATGTGGCTTGTTGTTTATGTTAATTAAATAACTAAACTATAGCACACAAACTTCAGTTAGTCGCTTCCAATATAGTAATAATATACATGAAACCCAGCGATGTTACTTCTTAAAAACCATGAACATTCACAAAACTGGACAACTAAAAGAAGCTTTAAAGCTTATTATCTCAACCCCAGCAAGCCACTTAGACCCTTCTGTGTACATGCCACTTTTGCAATTTTGCGTTGAATCCAAAGCTGAAAACCTTGCTCATTTGATTCATACCCACATTATAACAAATGGGTTTGATTTTAGTTTAAATTTGAGCAACAAATTGATTATCTTTTATGGGAAAGTCGGTGACATGGTGTCGGCACGCAACGTGTTCGATAGAATGCGTGACAGAAATGTTGTGTCATGGACAGCAATGATTTCTGGGTATACTCAGAGTGGATTTTATGAGGATGCTTTGTTAGTGTTTAAGGGGATGTGTAGAGGTGGTGTCAGGGCGAATCTGTTCACGTTTGGTAGCGCATTGAGGGCGTGCATTGGGATGGGGCGGTTGTCGAGTGGGATGCAGATACAAGGGTGTGTTGAGAAAGGAAGGTTTGGGGAGAATTTATTTGTGAAGAGCGCGTTGCTTGACTTGCACGCGAAGTGTGGAAGGATTGAGGACGCGTGGTTGTTGTTTAAGACGATGAAAGAGAGGGATGTGGTTTCTTGGAATGCTATGATTGGTGGGTTTTCTTTCCAAGGATTTGTTGATGATTCGTTGAGGCTGTTTCGATCAATGATGAGAGAAGGTATTGCTCCCTTGAGTTTTGAACTTCTATGAATTTTGTTTAGTTTACGCTATTATCAGCTGCTTTTTACTTGAATGCTTTCGGATACAACCCTGTAAATTGACGCATTTTGTTCCTTTTGTTAACAATAGTGTAACATATCAGGTGTCAAGTGATCAAATTTGTTTTTTTTTTTTTAATTGTAGAATATGGTTTTTTAATAGCTCTCGTAAATGTTTCAACAAAAATGTATATTTTGTAAAAGAGACGTATAAGTTTGTACCTTAAAAGCACATAACTATTGGAGTAAGACACTTATTTTTATTAAGCATGTGAATTGAGGGTACTTGTCTAGTTTTGTATTTCATTTAAATTCTGGTAAGTGGAAAATCATTGCTCAATTTTATAAGTTGGTTCATTGTGACAAAATCTGAAGCGACAATACTAGAAATCTGATTCTTCTCTTTCTTTTCTTTTTTTTATATAGCAAATTGGAAATATGATATTGGTCAGGTGTTGCCACTACATTAGCATGAGGTATTGACAACTCTGGAGTTTCTGACTAACTCACATACCCTTTATTGAGAATATTGACATTATGATGGTGTATGGGATTTGTTTTGAAATAATATCTGGGAAAACTCTATCCCATTGCATAGTGATATTTTGTAGGTATATTTTTGTATATATATATATATATATTCTGTATGTTAGTTTTAACTACTTAACTTTTACAGGGTATGTCCCTGATTGGTTCACCCTGGGGAGTGTTATAAGAGCCTCTATTGCAGGTATTGGTCTTATGAATGTCACTCAAATTCATGGATTGATCGTCAAACTAAGTTCTGGATCATCTAATATCTTGATTGGTTCACTAATTGATGCATATGCAAAATGTGGAAACATAAGAAGTGCTTATCAATTATACAAAAATCTGGTAAAGAAAGACATAGTATCTTGCACTGCATTGATCAGTGGGTTTGCTCGTGAAAAAAATTTTGGCGGAGAGGCTTTGGATCTTTTCAAAGAAATGATTCTGAAGACAATGGAAATTGATGATGTTATATTATGCTTAATGTTTAATATATGTGCCAACATGGCATCACTAAGCTTGGGAAAGCAAATTCATGCTCTTGCTTTAAAATGCCAACCGAGCTATGATGTAGCTATGGGAAATGCTCTTATAGATATGTATGCGAAATCTGGAGAAATTGAAGATGCAAGACGTGCTTTTGATGAGATGGGAGAGAAAAATGTGATTTCATGGACATCCTTGATTGCTGGGTATGGGAAGCATGGCTATGGGCATAAAGCAATTGCACTATATGAGAAAATGGAATTTGAAGGACTGAAGCCAAATGATGTTACCTTCCTGTCTCTGCTTTTTGCTTGTAGTCATACTGGATTAAATAGTGAAGGATGGGAATTATTTAATAATATGGTTAGAAAACACAAAATCGTCCCCCGAGATGAGCATTTTTCTTGTGTGGTAGATCTGTTTGCACGTGGAGGGCACTTAGAATCAGCTTATGATATGATATGCAAGATGAATATTAAGCCTAGTGCATCACTTTGGAGTGCTATTCTTGGGGCATGTATTATCTACGGCAATACGTCTCTTGGAGAATTAGCTGCGATGAATCTTTTCAGTATGGAGCCAGAGAGCTCAGTGAACTATGTTGTTTTATCAAGCATATATGCTACAGCTGGCGAATGGGACAATGCTTGGAAAACACGGAAACTAATGGAAGAGAGATGTTTAAGAAAGAGCCCGGGATCTAGCTTTTTGTAGCCTGCAAAGAGGAAGATTTTTCTTTTGGAGCCATGTTGGAAAGATGCAAGTATCTTAATTTTCATTCCTCTGGGAGTTGAACTTGGACTTATTTAAGTATGATTTTATTTTGAAGCTACAAAAGATAGGAGGAAATGTTAATTACCTGAAAGAGTAATCTTGTGGGAAAGGGAATTGTGTTCGTTTAATTGATAAATTTTTCTTGAAAATTGATAATGATTACCCCAGGGTGGATGCTGGGAATTTAGACTTGAAGGATCATACGATAAGTTGTGCACAGCTATTCTAGGTGCTTCTAACATTTTTAGGCTTCCATCGACTTGGTTGAAGCAGAATTCCAGCTCTGAACGTAAGTTTTCATTTATGATTTTGTTTTTTTTAATTTTTCCCTCTGGTTGTTTAAATTGTAATTGAAATTGCATATAAGCATTCATTGTGTATATTTATTGTGTTCTCTATCTGGAGAGCTCTAAAAGATTGAAATTAGCAGAGCAAGTTTGTGTGTTTTAGAAATTAAAAGTCACCTTGATTTTTAGTTTGTTATCCTCTTTGGGTCTTGACTTCTATCATGTTTTCAGTTTTCTGGGCTCTTCTTGGTGGATGTTCTACTGGGCGTTTGGCAGCAATACTGCACTGAGACGAATTCAGGGAACCATTTCCGTGGACTACTAAAGTCAAGTGCCCAAGTGATTTTGGATTGTTCTTTGATATGTAAACATGTCATCATGATCTTTAAAAGTTTAATAATGATTGTTACTTTGATACTCACGGCTGTTATTCCTGTCTTGTCTGGTTTTTGCAGAACTGACATATCTGCTGGGCGCACAGCTAGAAACTTGTTTAGTGGCGTGGCTAGCCTCCAGATTCTTATCTTATTAAACTTCCTGGATACTGATTTTGATCTTATTAGTTCTATGGATAAACTAGAAGGTTGCTGTCCAAGTAATATAATATTGCCATCTGCTGTTTAAAGGTTATCACCAGATCTAAAACACTTTAGTCGTTTGCCTAACCTTAAAAGCTTTCCTTGACTCTAATTTGGAACTCTTCTTTGTGTACTATATTGTGCACAATCTTTATTCGGTAATTTTGCCAGCAGATCCCAGAGTAGGCTTGTCTGATCCTTACTTTACTTTGAGAATTGTCCTTTGTGCTGGTATTGTTTAATCAGGTGCAGCTAGGTGACCAGACACGGGGAATGTTAAGTTACTGTAGAGTCCACCAGTGCCGTATCATAATCTATATATGGAACTAACAATAGTTATTGTGTTCTCTAGTGTTTTAGCTAGTGGTTTGCTCGATCCTGGAGTGCTGCACGCCCATTGCGCTTGCCTGGAGACTGACCTTAGACTCAGCATCTTTGTCAGAGAGATAAAATTCCAATCTTGGAGCATCTCTGATTAGATTCTGTTGTAAGAACTATTGTATTGTATTATATTATAAGTTGTTGAAATCTAGGAGTTCATATCTGTAAGACAACTTGAATTATTTAGTCCTCTGTTTCTTAATAATGTGCCAGGTTTCTTATATTCCATCAAGGATTATATGCTTACATACAAACACTCTGATCATTTGGAGGTGATTGGGTATATAGACTCTGATTTTCGGTGGATGTAAAGATTCTAAGAAGTTTACTTCTAGATATATATTTATTATTGCTAATGGTGTTATATCTTGGAAAAGTACTAAGCAAATTATAGTTGCAACATCCACAATAGAAGCTTAATTCATTGCGTGCTATGAGGCTACATCACAAGCTTTATGTTTGAGAAACTTTATATCTGGATTAAGAGTACATATCTGTAAGACAACTTGAATTATTTAGTCCTCTGTTTCTTAATAATGTGCCAGGTTTCTTATATTCCATCAAGGATTATATGCTTACATACAAACACTCTGATCATTTGGAGGTGATTGGGTATATAGACTCTGATTTTCGGTGGATGTAAAGATTCTAAGAAGTTTACTTCTAGATATATATTTATTATTGCTAATGGTGTTATATCTTGGAAAAGTACTAAGCAAATTATAGTTGCAACATCCACAATAGAAGCATAATTCATTGTGTGCTATGAGACTGCATCACAAGCTTCATGGTTGAGAAACTTTATCTGGATTAAGAGTAATCGACTTTATTGCAAGACCATTAAAGATGTATTGTGATAACTCGACTATCGTTTTGTTCTCAAGGAATAACAAAAGCAATAGTTGCAACAAACATATTGATATAAAGTATCTTTCAATTAAAGGTCATGTTAAAGAGCAAAATGTGGATATCCAACACATTGGTATCGAATTAATGGTTGTTGATCTCATGACCAGAGAATTACCGGTTAAAGTATTTAAGGATCATGTGGATTGTATGGGGCTAATTAGTTCATTTGATGTATATGTTAGCTTTTAATTTTGTATTTATGACCTTATTTGGATATTTTGACATATACAATTTACCTATTATATTTTGGTGCACATAAAGTTAAATGTAAAAAAAAAGTGGACCACAAATGACTTATAGGAAGTTCATTCATAAATTTAAAATACTCTTAAAGTTCTTATATAAAATATCATGCATTGTAGACGGAAGGAAGCATTCGGTTTAAAGGATATGGTCGCCATTATTCATATATTGATCATTTATGTAAGTAAGAGCTTGTTATAACTCATATTATGACCATATTCAAATTTTATTGATCGTGTATACAACATTTTTTTATTCTGGCATGAGGCCAAGTGGGAGAATGTAAGATCTAATGTGGCCACATGCCACAATTATGCAGTTAAAATAATAATAATAATAATAATAATACTGTTAATATAATGCAGTTATGAGTGGTTTTAAGGAGTTATAAAGTTAAACTGCCTATCTTAATCCTTGATGGAAGGTTAAATGACAGTTGTTGGGATTTTCTTACTCCCTAGTACAGCTGATCAAGGATCAGTCCCAAGCGGGCCTAGGCCTGGGCCCGTTTGGGATTGGTTCCTTTGGGATTGGTCCCATTTGGCACTAGTTGCTCATGGGTCTGGGACCGGTCCCAAACCCATGAGCAATTTTAGGACCCGGACTAGTCCTATGGGCCTACAAAATTTTATTTTCCCCTCTATCCATTTTTTTTTTTAATATTTTAGGGGCGAAATAAAATTATGTAGGGGGGTTTAGTAATTTTCAGGGGTAGATTAGTAAGTTTTTAAAAGTTTAATTAATTTTAAAAAATAATAAAATAATAAATAAATTAATGGTTAATTTTAACATAAATGTAATATTTACTCAATCACACATTCACGCTTCACAAATAAACAATTAAATAAATTTTTTTATTAAATTATTCATCTTCATCGTCAACACTATTTTAATCATTAAAATCTGTGTTCCCAAAGAGTTCAAGTAGTTCGGAATTTTCAAGGTGCTGTTGTAGTATTCTCTCTGCATGAGACCAATCCCGTAAACACATTATCACTTCAATCATCTCATCGGTTAAAGAGCATCTTTTGTCTTCAACAATCCGACCACTCGTTGAAAATGTTGACTTGGATGCAATTGTAGAAAGCGGCACAGATAAAATGTAACATGCCATTTGGGCTACAATGGGGAATCGACTTTGATATTGGCTCCATCATTAAAGCAAATCCATCTCACGTTTCTCCTTCTTCGTCATGTAGAACAAGTCCATTTGTAGGTAGCGATTAAGCTCATTTGGTCCAGGTATGTACGAGCTGGAGTTGCTACTTTCACCATGTTCCATATATGTCCACATGCTCGATCCTTGATGGAGGTCTTTATAAGGGTCCTGATCGTGTCTCTTGGACGTTCCACTTCTACGTCCATTGTACCTATTCTGATATAAAGAAAAAAGGTTTTCCAATTTTTACTTAAAATTAGTCAAATAAAACGTATAATCATGCCCTAAATGCTGGCCTATCTCAGTAATTGTACAATTAACTATGTGTAATTTAAACATAGGATCTACAATAAGGCCCAATCCATATAAGAATGGAATATCTAACCAATATTTCTAGTATTTTTCTTCTATCTTTAAAACAATTTCCATTAAAACGTTATTATATTTATATTTAACAAAAGTTTTAGAAATTTGAAGTAAAATATTTAACGCTAAATTAGTAGTCGGATAATAAATACCACTTAATGTATTAGTGGAACCATAATTTTTTTTTTTTTTTTGAAATGAATAAAAAAGTTCACAAACCGCCCAATCATCATAGCTGACAACTTTTCCGGTTGACAAAATCTGTATTTTGTCTTGCGGTTGGCAAAGCTTTTTCCAACATCAAGTAGGTGGAGTTCCAATGGATAGGTATGTCCATACATAACTTCAAAGGTTGAACTAGTGGGTTCTCTTGTCTACAATATTTGACTTACTCTTGCTATCTTTTGTTGTTACTGCCGACGATAAATCCGATAGCTGTGCGCACCCTCTCCATCTTCGAATGTATAACATCTAAACTTGCTTTAACAATCAAATTGATGATGTGACAAGCACATCTCTGGTGAAATTTTTTTCCTTCACCATGCGGATCTAATCTCTATTTCAAATAAAGAGATTGCTGTGGTGTTAGCAGCTGCATTATCAAGCGTTAGCATTACAACTCTATCAGTTAATACATATTCTTGCACAACTTCAAGAATTGTAAAATAAATAGTGTCAACAATGTGTTTTTTATATAATAGTTTAAAATCCATTAATTTTTGTTATAAACCCCAACTATGATCTAAGAAATGTATTGTGACAGTTAAAAAATCTGTTTTTGATCTACAAGCCCATATGTCTGATGTAAGTGCAATATATATATTTCTAAAATTTTGAAATTCGATTTCAAGTTTATTATTTATTTTGTTATAAAGTTTTAGTATATCTCTTCTACTTGTACTTCTACTAACAGGGGTATATGCTAGATAAAATGCAGTTTTAATCATGTGAATAAAATAAAGATTTTCAAATAAACAAATGGGATAGTCTGTAGTGACTATGAATCTTGCTGTTTCCTCTCGTGCAACATGTGCATTGTATTGCCATGTTGAGAGAGTTGAGGATTATGAATTAAAATAAAGTTGAGTTTGAATTTGTCTACCTGATCCAGTTGAAGATGTATCGAACAGCTACATTATTTGGGAGTGCTTCTTCTCCAAGTGTCGCCGCATCGTCGAAGTCCCCTTCTCAACGCCAATAATGGTTCCACAGAAATTACATACCCCACTTGTCTATTGAGTCGCAGCTCGCTTGTGTTTAGCTGCACCTCGTCCCGGTTGAATGTTGTTGTTGAATTGCAGTTGCTGCCTCTGGAGGAAAGAGTGAAAATGGATTGAACCCTTCCATTTCTTCGGTGGATGGAACGTAAAACTCATTTGGGGATGATCCTCCGAATGCATCATTTTGGGAATCCATTATGAATTTATGATAAAATAATAAATAATTAAATGAAAAAAATTAAATAATAATATGAATAAGAGATGATATTGAAAAATAGAAAAAATTGAATAATATGAATAAATAAATAATAATATGAATAAATTATAAATATAAATATAAATTGAATGAGAATTTGATTGGAGATTTGGAGTAGAGAGTAGAGAGATTAAGATTTGAGAGAATGAGAGAAAAATGAGAAATTTAGGGGATTGAACCCTTGTAGGCCTACTAAGACCAGTCCTTGAGAGGACTGATCCTAGGACCGGGTTTTTGGGCCAAGTTTTTGGACCCGGTCCCAAATGCCCAGCTCTACTCCCTAGCCTAGTTATATAAATATATCACCTTTTCCATATATGGGTGATAAGAGGATATAAATATAGTTTTATTCGGCAAAGGTTAGAAAACATCTCTCAAACACTCTCACAAATCATCTACTTCTTGAGTTCAGTGCAATCCACATTTGGCTTCTATAATGACTGCTTTATACTAGGATACTCATAGAAATATATCAAGTAGAATATATGTATATTAACAAAAGTAAATGGGCCCAAAATTTTCTTTTATTAAATATAAACATTATTTATACAAAACAAAATATCATTTACAAAATGATAATAAAACAGTGGACAATGTAGCTATTGCTCCTCGCTTGTCGACGCCCATCCGACTGCGTTTTCACCTAGATCCTGTAACCACAAAGAAAACAACAGGGTGAGCACAAAACAATGCTCAGTAAGTAAATCTTCTACTCGACTGTCCTCATAACTCTTTCTCTTAATTCTTTCCTTACACTTTTTCTCATCTCATTTATTTCTCTTTCACACAACTCTCTTTCACACAACTCTATTTCTTAACTTCTGCTATAGGTCACGGCCTCATCTAACCCGAGGCACGGCCGGGTGGAATTCACACAGAACCAACCCACTCTTCGTAACTTTCGGGTGGAGATCACAAAGCACCAACCTGTTTTTCATAACTATCGGGTGGAGATCACAAAGCACCAACCCGTTTTTCATAACGATCGGGTGGAGATCACAAAGCACCAACCCGTGTTTAGGGTTCTTCTCTTTCTCTCTACTCTTAGAGTAGGTCACTCACACAGTTCTCTACTCTTCCTCAAGCTAGTATTCATAGTGTAGCTTAATTCTTAGAGTAGTTTATTCACAAAGTTCTCAACTCTTTTTTAAGCTACTTCTCAAATGCATAGTTAATGCATATGGATGATTCATGCTCATTA